AATATGTGGCAATTTGAATTAAATTTATTAAAAATTCTATAAAAATGAATAGGCTATAGTCTTTATTATTGTAATAAAGTAAAGGCTTTTATAATTTCTATTTTTGTATGTAATAAAACTATTAAATTTGTGTGTGTGTAAATGAAGAGAATGAGGACTTGCCATTTTCTAAGTTAAGCATACAAAATCAAAGAAAACAAACATTTTAATTAAACTAGAATTTTTTTCACATAATTAGCATTTAGCTAAATACAAATTAACGTAACCTTTCCAGAAAAGAATAGGCAACTATCAATGTCAACTACAAATAGGAATATACTAAGTAAAATCTGAGTAAAACAAATTTAGTAAAACATGAGGGAATAATGCAATACAACTAAGTTGGACTTATCCCAAGAAGGTAGTAGATAACAGAATTAAATAAAAGAGCATGCCCTAGTCCCAGTCAGGGTGCCGGATTCTGTCCCAGTTGCTCCTCTTCCAGTCCAGCTCTCTGCTGTGGCCTGGGAGTACAGTGGAGGATGGCCCAAGTGCTTGGGCCCTGCACCCGCATGGGAGACCAGGAGATGCACCTGGCTCCTGGCTTCAGATCAGCGTTGTGCACCTGCTGCAGCACGGCAGCTGCAGCGGCCATTGGGGGGTGAGCCAACGGCAAAGGAAGACCTTTCTCTCTGTCTCTCTCTCTCACTGTCCGCTCTGCCTGTCAAAAAAAAAAAAAAAGAGCATGTCATAATTTTTAAGTGGTAATAAGATATACAGTAATATAAACTGATGAAAATTCTTGGTTAACTGAAGTTGAGGAAGATATTCTTTTAACTTCTTATTAATCCAGCAATCATCATTCAATAATAGTACAAGAGACAGTCATATTTACACAAGAGTATTATAGATTTTTGATATGAATAATTATTAACAGTATTCTTTGGGTTCTAACTGTTGTGAAAAAATGAAAAGATGTGTTGTCTCAAGGCATTGGTCAATTTGGTCTAAATGATCAACTTGAAATACACTGTGCTTCATAGTATTCCTTTGTTACCTATATAAGGAGTGTAGAGTCTATAGTGATAGCTCCTGTTTCTTTTCCAATATTAGTTGTGTGTGTTTTTTTTTCTCTCTCTGCCTTTTTTTAGGTGAGAGAGGACTATTTGGAGGTTTATCAAGTACATTAACCTTGTCAAACAACTTTCGATTTCATTGATTTTTCTGTTCTCAATTTTATTGATTTCTGCTCTTATTTTTATTATTTCCTTCCTTTTGCAGTACGTTTTCCTAATTTCTTATGATGGAATTTTAGATGATTGGTTTGAGGGCATTTATCTTTCCAACTTCAAGCATTCTAACACTATGAATTTCCCTTTCAGCACTATTTTAGCTGCATCTCACACTTTAACGTGTCCTATTTTCATTTTCATTTAGTTAATAATACTTTTAATTGCTCTTGAGAGCTCCTCTTTGATACATGAGTTCTTTATATTTTAATTTTTGAATATTTCCTGACAATTTTAAATATGTTCTTATTAATAATTTCTATTTTAATTTTGTTGGTTTCAATTCTTTTAAATTTGTTAAATTTTGTTGTATGGGCCAGAATATGTTCTCTCCTGGTGAACGTTATGTGTACACTTGAAATGATGTGCTTTCTGCTATTGTTGAGTGTACTTTTCTGTAAATGTGAATTATTTCATATTGGTTGATCTTTTAACTCTTGTCTGTCCTTGCTAATATATGTCTTCTTTTTCTGTTTCTCCTTTTTAGTTCTACCACATTTTGCTCCATGTATTTTAGCTGTAAAGAGTTCATGTTGAGAGTTGTTCTTCTTTTTGGTAAAGTGATCCTTTTTTTTTTCATTATGTAATGTTATTATGTAATGTGTCTCTTTAACCTCTTCAAAGCACATACCTTCAATCTCTGCTCTGTTATTACATCCCCTTCTCTGAAATCTCCAGTATGCCTCCTTATAGGAAACTTTGTGATCATACCCAGCACAACCATATAAGCCAGGATAATCTCACCTCTAAATCTTTAGTTTAGTCTTTTCTGTAAAATCCCCTTAGCCATGTCACATAACACTGACAGTTCTGGGGGCTAGTGCACGGTCGTCTCCTGGGGCCATTATTCAGCCTACCACATTTATCTTTCAAGTTTACTGTTTTTCTCTGACATCTCTAGTCTTCAATGAAGTCATTCCTGTGAAATTTTTATTTTCCGTAATATATTTATCTGCTGGGAATTGCAGTTTTTCCAGTTGCTTTTAAGAGTACTTTTTACTTTATGGGACGTTGTTGTGTAATAGCTGCTTTGAAGTCTTTGTCTGAATATTCTAACATCTGGGTCATTTAGGGTTTAAAATCTCTTGACTTTTTTTTTCTGGTGAGTTAGTCTGATTTCCCAGGTTCTTATTGTGCCGAATAATTTCAGATTATATCCTGGACATTTAGATTATTATGACTCTTCCAGTCTTAACACAATCCTGTAGAGAATATTCATTAATTGGATGCAGAGTGCAAGTTCTATGTCACCTTTAGTTTTCAGGCTCTGTCCCTCATGTGAGCTTTTCTTTTTCAGGCTTTGGTGGTGTTTATATTATATTTCAACTTCTGAAGCCTCGCCTTTGCTCTCCTTCCTTAGATGTGGTCTGTGTATGTCCGACCTGGGAGTGAGCCTGACATATCTGCTGATTCATAAACAGAATTAGGGACCCTTGTTCTGTTCTCTACTCTCAAGGCTTTCTCCCATACCTTCTGGTTTCTAAGTGCTCCTTGTCCTGGCCCTCTGTCCAGAAAAGTTCAGTTTTCTCAGAGATCAAGCTGTTTTACTCTCTGCCATATAGCTTGCACCCCTGGTACTGCCTTTAGGGTGAAGAGACAAGGCAGAAATTCACCCAACATTCATGCACAATACATAACACTCTTTCTGGTAATTCTATCTGTGTGGAGGGTTTTCTCCTCGGGTCTTGGGTTTCACACCACTATGACAGTGCACATGGGAGACCAGAGCCAGCCATAAGGCAGGACTGGGTGAGGGAGAAAAACAAGAGATGTTTATACGCTTTGACTTTCTTCCCATCCACTGGCCAAAAAGGATCAACTTCTCTGAATTTTTGTCAACTGTACCAGCTATAAAGCTCCTGATTCAACCTACTGTAGGGTCAAAAAGGTGGAAAAATAAGAACTAAGGAACTCATTGCCATTAGATTGCTTTTCATTGAAGCTTTTACTTTATTCCTTAATCTGCCTATTATTTACTTTTCATAGCCCTTGAATAGTCTGTTTGTTATCTTCTTGTCTAGTATTTTCAGTTGTATCCACATGAGGAATCAGCTGCAGTGGACTTAACTCCACTGTCCCCAAACTAGAACTCTGGGGCCAGCACTGTGGTATTGTGGTAAAAGCCACCACCTATGACACCAGCACTCCAAATGGGCACTGGTTAGTGTCCTGGCTGCTCTGGTTCTGATCCAGCTCCCTGCTAATGGCCTGGGAAAAGCAGTGGAAGATGGCCCAAGTATTTGGATCCCTGCAGCCACATAGGAGATGCTGATGAAGCTCCTGGCTCCTGGTTTCAGCCTGGCCCAGCCCTGGCCATTGAGGTCATCTGAGAGAGTGAACCAGCAAATGAAGAATCTGTGTGTCTGCCTCTCCTTCTCTCTGTAACCCTAACTCTCAAATAAATAAATAAATCTTAACAAAACATAGCAAAACAAAATTCCAACTCTACATTTAGAACTACGAATTTTGAAGGAAAGCAGACACTGTCAATAAAACGCTCCATGAGAAGCTGATAAAGGTGGGGTTGATGACTTTACCTATTTCATTCAAACCTTTGAAATAAACAGGCTATGGTGAGACCCTTTCTTCAGTGCTGTTTAAAGTTCAGCCAATAAATGTTTATTGGGTGCCAAATAGATATCAGAAACTTCTCAAGGCTCTAGAAATGTAATAGTGGAATTTGTTTTATTTTATGTTGTATAATTCAAAGCATAGAAGATTATTTAAAATCATCCTCAAAAATCATGGTTGCATTATCAGGATGAAACCCAACCTACTTGTATGTCATTATCTCCTCAATATTGTACTAAATTAGGGTTACTTATCTTCTACTCAGTTCCTCAGAAATCTTTGCTTTCTATTGCTGCCAGGCTCCTCCGTAGAGTACTTTTTGCTTTTTACTTTCTTGTTCGACACAGTCCTCACTGGCTGCTTCAACCAGCCAAATTCTGTTCATTCTCCTGCCCTTGGGGTGAGCATCGCTTTCTATGGGAAACATTAATTTACTCTAGATTAATGAGCTCTGCAGTCACATCCTCTTTCCACTCTGCAGTAGAGAGCTTCCTAGGCTGTCTGCCCAGCAGAGGTACCGACAGGTGGTAAGAAAAAACAAAGAACAACTGAAGAACCAAGAAGTGTCTGGAGGGGCAGGAATAAAGCATGCATGGTGGAGAGCAGTCCTCTCTGACGTCACAGAGGCAAGCAGCCACAGGTGGTGAACTAAGTTAGTTTTAGAACCTTAAATGATGAATGTTATAGTGAGTGAGCATGAGTGGAGAGACCAGTATTATCAGATTTGTATTTCATTACTGAGAATCATGTTGAAAATATGTTGGATGCTTTTAACATTATATACATGTGACAGTGCGTCATCACATAGTACCCCATAAACGTGTACAGTTTTTATATGTCTGTTACTTTTTAAAATTGAGAAACTGAAAAAATCCAGAATCATATGTAGGTGAAGTTATACATGTAGTGTAAATCAAGTCACAGCAACATTGAAATAACCCTGCCCTGTGTCTACTAGCCTTTCAGCTTCCCTCCACAAATGCTTGTTTTTTGTAGTTAGTTTTTTCTTCTGTCATTTAAATTTGTGATTGACATGTAATTCTTGTACATTGCTGTGGGCTACCATGCAATACTTCAACATATGCACATAATGTAAACTGATGAAATCAAGCAATTGGACTCTCTCTTTTCTTATCCTTTCTTTGTGTTTGGAACTTCTAGTGCATGTGTTCCGGTTCTCCACGCAGCATGTGATATGTTCCTGTGATCTCGTCGCCATCCTGTGTGGAGCTCTTGGATCTGTTGCTTCTGTCTCTGTTTTGCTACTCATTGGCCACCCTACTCCATAGCAGACTCCAGCAATCCTTAGTCCAAGTCCAGTTCAGCTGTGTGTAACTTCCTACTGTTAGTTCTTCCTGTGACTACCCTGTGTGACTGTAACTTTGTGGAATAAACTTATATTTCTTTGGTATGTTTTTACTGACTCCCTATAATGAAAAATGATGAAGCCAGGATCTTTCCTTCAGCCTTTCCTCTTTAACCCCCACCCCTGCCCACCACGTAATTTTAATTGAAGAAGTTATTTATTTTTATTACTTGCAACTCTAAGTATTCTTGTAATTAAATAATTATCTTTTGGCCTCTCTTATAGAAGGTGATTAATGTCCTTACTGTAAGTTAAACCATTTTTCCTAATTTCTGTTCTAAAATTTTAAAAAATTATCATTATATTTAACAATTTTTGCATTTTTTTCCTTTTTTAAAAAATATTTTATTTATTTATTTGAGAGGTAGAGCTACAGACAGAAAGAGGGAGAGCCAGAGAGAAAGGTCTTCCATCTGCTGGTTCACTCCCCAGATGGCCACAATGGCCTGAGCTGGGCTGATCTGAAGCCAGGAGCCAACAGCTTCTTCCATGTTTCCCATGCAGTTGCAGGGGCCCAAGCACTTTGGCCACCCTCCACTGCTTTCCCAAGCCATAGCAGAGATCTGGAATGGAAGAGGAGCAGCCGAGACATATGGGATGCCCATATGGGATGCTGGCATCAGAGGCAGAAGCTTAGCCTACTATGCCACAGAGCCGGCCCCTGCATTATTTTCCTTAACCATAATTCTCATAATTATTTTTTTATTTTTATTGTAAATTTGGATTCAATTCTTACTGTCATCTTTTTTTAAAAAGTTATTTAAAAGTCAGAGTTAGAGAGAAAGGGAGAGAGGAGGGAAGGAGGGAGGAAGGAAAGAAGGAAGGGAGGGGAGGAGAGAGAGAGAGAGATCTTCCACCTGCTGATTCACTCCCCAAATGGCTGCAACAGCCATAGTTGGGCTAGGCTGAATCCAAGAGCCAGGAGTTTTCATCCAGGTTTCCCACATGGGTCTGGGGGCCTGAGAACTTGGGCCATCTCCTGCTTCTCTCCCAGGCATATTAGCCCAGAGCTAGATCAGAAGTAGAGCATCTGGGACTCAAACCCATATGGGATTCTGGTGTCACAGGTGGCAGCTTTACTCACTATACCACCATGCAGGCTCCACTGTCATCCATTTAATACCATCTTTTTTTTTAATTTATGTCTCAGCTGAAGTTCAGTCTTTCATGTTTATTAAAGATGAGATCCTGTGACCCTAGTGTAAAGAAGGGGCCATCAAAGAAGGATGTACTTTTCTGGCCCTTTCTAAAAACCAGTGGAGTTTGTGGACTCAGAATGCTTCCATAGCCTTGGCAGCTCATGACGAGTTCAGGTGATCACTGATGTCATACCAGTATATGTCTCAGTTTTGACCATTCTATGTCTGTTTTTCCAAAGAAAGTACAGTGCTCTTTCAAGCTATGTATTCAAGTCTTCAATTTTTTGTTTCTTGAAAGTTTTCTTAAATTATGTCTTTGGATATTTTTAATCCCATTTGTTTAGTTCTTTTCTTTAGGGATACCAATTATGCTTATGTTGGATCTCCTTCAGTGCCTTCCACATCTAACATCTTGTATCTTTAGTTGTTCATTTCTATTTTATTTTATTTTTCAATTTCTTTTAGTTCTTCTATATTTGTTCTACTTTCCACTTCTTCCAGTGTGACCTTCAGAAATCAAAATAACTTTAATAAATACTTAGATAATATGTCAGAGTTCCATTTCTTTATGTTGGAGTTGAGAACAGGATATATATTTAGACAGTTTTTGGTGTGGCCTCTGAAAGTTGCATAGTATTCCTCCATAAAACCCTATAAATCTTTCTATAAGACAGACCTAAGGAAACAATGAAATTTATGTTAGAATTATAACTTTACTTATCCTTAAAAGTTTTGCCTTAAAATCTGGGAAGATTTATATCCTACATTATTGTGAAAGTATATGTGTGGTCATTGTCTCTAGCTTCCATAGCAATGTTTATCTTATAATGCAAAGTACATTTGGGGCAAAGGAGTGGTAGTTGATTAAATGCTATTCTTTTACTCAGTAGATCTCATTGTAATGTGTGTTTTATGATTTATCAACCCATAAATTGTAGTCCAAAATATTCACAAGTAATACAGTGATAAAGGCTCATTTTGCTTTATCCCTGTTATTTCTTTTTAAAAATAGTACATGCTGAAATTTTTCATCACACTGCTTTGTCAGTTAATCAAGATCCTTTTCAACTATCATAAAAGAATGCAATATCGATATCTATTCAATTTATTGTTCTATGTAATCCTATATTATTAAAGTAGAGAAAGTAGAGTAATTATTAAAGGTAAGTAACTATATTAATTTCAAAATTTAATCTATAAAGCTCTCAAAGGGAATTATTACATCCCTCAGAGCTGTATGTTACTAATGGACAATACCTGAGAAAATACATGAAATTTTTACAATTACATGTAAATTAGAGCCCTTTTATACAAGGTTAATTTTTATATGTCATTTATATGTGGTGGTAACTTGATTCAATTATGAAGCATAAAAAATCTTGAGGCACAACTCAGTAAATATGCTTAAATGTGAGGACACTCTGAAAAGCTTGTGTGAAATGTAATTTTAAGGTAAGTTTATTTTGTTGAAAAGAAATTTTGAAACACATTTTTTCATAATGTGCATTTTCCATGTACTTTTAAAGACCCCTCATATATTTTTTGTGCCAAGATAAACTTATTGTTTAATTCCATTTTCCATGAACTTTTTGGAATATCCTCATGTAACAAACCTTGGTATTGTGTCAGAACAGGTAGGTCTATTGTATATTAAACTGTTGATCACTTGAAAAAATCAGAAATTGTATAAGTATCAAATATTGATTATAAGGGTCAAGTTTAGAGAATATGTATTCTTTTCTCTAGAAAATATCTTAAAAGTATTAGTTTATAATCCAAATAATAATGATTTTTCAGGCAAATATTTGAGAAGGAGATTGAAAATAGAGAATCAACACAGTGCATTTTTAGTTTGATCTGATTGTTGTCAAATGTGCTACTTCAGCAAGACTCAGAATAAATGAAAGATCAACAGTATAGCACATGTCATTTTCTCCCACTGAGCAAAGAATTAGCAAAGTCATGATTTCTCAACATGAACAACAACTATACCTGTTGAGAGGGTGATGAAGAGTTGGAAATGACTTTTTATTCCCTTTCTCACACTGAAATGCCTATGAACAAGAATAAAAATCAAAAGGAAAGCTTTGTCTTAAGCATAAAGAAATAATTGAAGTTGCATGCTTTCCTGGAAATAGAAATAAAGGAGGATGCATGTAGAACAAGCTCCAGTATGACTGTATTAATAATTTAGGAAGGAACTGAAGACTGCATGAAAACATACACCCTGTGACTCAGCCAGTTCTCACCCCTTTTTAACATTTGCTGAACATCAACTTATAGCATAAATAAATAAGAGCTGTTAGATTGCTTAGAGCATTCTTGCTGGAAATCTCCATGTAGTGTTCCTTAAGTGTGAGAACTATAGGTACCCTTAAACACCAGTGTTCAGCTTCTGCATAGAGCACTTAGCATAATTCTTTTTTCTCTATAGTTTTAAAAGTGTGGGAACATGTGATCAGGGTCCTTTTTATATTCAAAATGGGTCAGCTTCTGTCTAGAAATGTCTTATTGTCATGATGTCACCACATCTCAAGCTTTGTGACCTTTTGCACCATATGGACTCTGGGTAGTCCACATCTTAGTTTACAGGCCAGAGTGCTATTGTGCCCCCACTAGGGGGTATCAAAGGCTTTTGGACTGGAATTTCAAGTAGTGATAGATTTGGAAAAAAGTAAAAAGTAATTTTTATATATCCTAAGGACCGCCAGATGTCGCAAAGGCATCATTGATGAAGCGGGTTTTATCCAAAATGTGGCGCTTATATAAGGAATACTAGTATTGTGCTTGAGAGTTGCAGGGGCCATAACAGGTCAGTGAAATGTCCTTCAAACATCTGATTTTTACATTCAAGAATGGACCACGATGAAAAGATAACCACATATCTGACATTGACGTTACTACCATTTAGACAACCGATTCAATCGCCTTAGTCAGTGGGATCAATCAGGCCTTTATTACTTTGAAAAACCACAGAAATGATATAGTTTTTCTTTCTCTTTAAAAATGATGGCTTGGAATGACATCCTACCACTATACTTTTAAACAGTAAGTGCTTCATAGAAGCATGTGTAAACTTGCGTAATTCCTCCCACCCCCTGAGTTTAAAGCATTTTACAAAATGTACGAAATTATAATAATGCAAGGAATGGTGCTGAGTGAATTTCTGCTGAGCCAAACTGTATGCATAAATTGGCAGTTTAACAAGTAAAACTTGGAAGCAAGCATTTGATGATTGATTTTTTATTGAGACAGAACAAGCATGATAGTGGGGAAAGTGATTTTCCTTATTGAGAGAAAATATAGTGTTTTTCAACATGTCTCTAGTATGAATGGAAGCCTTGTCAAAAAAATGGAGCAACGCATAATATCCTTAAAAAGGTGAATTAACATAAGTATATCACTTATTTTATGGATCAAATTTTATACTTGTCAGTTTTATTCATAGTGTCATAAAGTTTATATCATAGAGGTAGTATTATTACCTTTGTTATATCCTTAAAAATACTCTGATATTAACTTCTTTGTAAGTAGATTATAAAAAATATTCATATATTCAATGCAGTGATAAAAATTAAGGCCAAAATATGTATTCATGTGTAGATCTTAGGCAACTCTCCAGTAATTTTAAGTACTTGAAATACATTATTCAACAAGTAACCTGCTCTATATTTGTGTGTAATGGGCTCTGCTTGAGACTACAAGAACTGTCAAGATGAAAATAAGAAACATATATCATTCTAATTTAATTATAATTCATCAAAAATTCCTCTGCTATATGTATTACATGGAGATATGCAAGCCTTCTTATAAAAATAATCATATGCTAAAGTTAGCTTTGACATTTACTGTCAGGAATTTTGTATGCAGATTTCTATTATTTAAAGAATATATGCTTACGTACAAATATCAACATGTATGTACACATGCTGAATATTGATTTGTATGTATGCTTTTTGTACCGATTTTATAATCACATCCGTGGGAAAATTTAAATCATGGATATGAATTTGTTTTGAGATAGTTCTTTTCAAGTTTGTAAATGTACATTTATTTACAATTGTGTTTTTAACTAGCATTTATAACTCTACATAGCTGTGGATCTATTATTCCCGTTTGGAATAAAATGTATAACAACCTAAGGAGGAGATGCTCATGCTGTTTTGCTGGGTTTAATTAGTAGGTAACCTATGAATCCATGGTTGCTGTTACATCTGAGGATGTATATCATGGGTCCGTGTTCTATGTGAAAGATTATCTGTATTTTATTCTAAGACTTTATGTATATTTAACCTTTAATTTGACTAGCAGGTTGTATGATTTACATAAAAAATAGATCAGCTTTGAATTCACTGAATGTTATTGGTATAACATAATCAATCATCTCTAAATGTTAATGGTGTTAAGGAGCAATGAGAGCATATGTCTTATATTTGTAATCCTGTGGATTTATGAAATTATTTGGGATGTCTAAGCACATTAGATCATGACATTTTTCTGTAGTTAGAGATTAGAATTTTTTAATGGTAAGTGAAATTCTAATGGAGTTGGAGAATTAGCCAAATATTTTTTTTTTACCATGAGTTACCTAATAGGTGCCTTGATGACTAGAGCATTCTTATGAAGAAAAGTGTAGGTAGGCTACAACACAAAGCTTGACATGCTATGACTTTGTCTCATTCTGTATTCACTATCTTTTAAGAAATTATGACTTTCGTTGGTGTTATCCTAATTACATCATGCACGGAATTCCTCAATGAAATAAAAATTCAATATATGAATGACAGTAGTCAGGGAAAAAATAGGATTTCAAATGGTAAAAAGCCTGCTGTGGTAACAAAGACTGAATCAATCCCTGTGTCGTGTAGCAGCTTGATCATATCTTTAAAACTGATAGTAACAAAGAATATTTATTTGTTGCCACGCTATTGTAAGATTTATTTTTAAACTCAAATCCCAATTATCAAGAAAATTGCATCCTCTTTATCTCACAGAAGGACATCCTGAATCATAGCATATTTGGTTATTGGAACTATAATATTGTTACCTTGCTTGAAACACATGGTCTCTCTTGATATACAAGAAAAAACTGAATCCATTTCAATAAATTAATAGGGATGAGAATCCCAATCCATCCTTCTTTTCAGAGGTTCGCATACATTGTAATGAAATGCATTAGGAGTTTTCTTCACTTGAAATCCAAATGAGACTCATTTTGGCTCACACCCTTGACAGTCTCTTTTATAAGCATTGCTGTCTCCTGTTCTTGTGTGGGCCTGGTAAAATGCTTCCTTTGTAAGATCCACAGAGACAATATAATGCCACGAAAGACGAAGGTGTCAAAACACAAAGTTAGAGGCAATCTAATCAATGCCTCCTGATTTAGCCTTTGAAGGCTCTCTTCATTAAAACTCTTTAATGGTGAGGCTTATCTCGAGGTAGAGCTGTTACTTAATATTTTTCAGTGTCATTCTTTGGACAGTCATTTGTACCTTTTAAATGTATTTTCAGTATTCATTGTTTAGTAAATTGGATGTCTTGTTAGCATGGTGGTGGTATGAATGACTTGCATCAAAATGATTGAAGGTAATAGTGTATAAATTCCTGGTACATTTTTCCCCTATCCTCTAATCCCCATCTTACCCTCCAACAACAACAACAACAAAAATCTTGATTTATTTTCTTTCCAAATATCAGGTGTAGGATGTCATTAGATGATTTCAAAAAACAGATAATGAGATATTTTTGCCCTATCCAAGAATCTGATTGGAAATCTAAAGAAACAAAACAAAAACAACCCAAAGCAATTAAAATTTTGATTTATAGGTAATTTTTTACCATTGCCATCTTTCTACTAAGTACACTTCTTGAATATTCTTTCTCTGAGCTTTTGGGAGAAACAATGTGAATCTCACTAACATGATAGAAAAATTCCACTTGTCTCCTGCTCTTCTTAGTTTTTGTTTCTCAGGAAATAGCTTAGGAAATGCGGGGGGGTTGGAGAGACATAACACTTAACCAATTCCAGACTGTGTTGTGAACTTGGAAATTGTGTCCATAGAAGACATTCTTTAGAAGATTTTTATTTCCTTAGACATGAATAAACGTATCTAAAATGTTGTTGAATTTTCATTTCACTAGTTTTACCCCCCGCCAATAATTTGTTCAAATTGACTAAATGAAAAACTTATAATTTTTATATTTTTCTTTGGTACACAGATCAGATGGTGTCATGATTTGAAAAAAAATAGAGAGGATACATTGAAGAATATTTCAATAATGACTCATGTGTGACTGTATTTAAATTCATGTTTTATACACATACAGTGTGTGTTGGAAAGACATATACATAGAGCAGCAAATAGTTTTGTGTGTTTATTCACAGAACATGTAGTCCTTCCTGTGAACAGATTTAACAAGTCCACACGCTTTTGGATAGTACACTCATGCAAACCATTAAAAAAAAAACCCTGAGAAATCAGGAGCTTAATTTCTTTTAATATGTCCAAGTTAAAAAACAAAATCCACAGGATGCCTTTGCTACATTCCCACTTCCAATCTATGACTATCAGGAGAAAGAAAGAATTTACAAAATGCAGAAAATAGGAAGGGAAAGCATCACAGAATGTATGCACAAGATATCTTGAAAATGGAAAAGAATTCAAGCAACTTTGACCTGATTTTTAAATAACTACTGTGGTGACTACAGCTGCTTGAGCTTAGTAATTATTTGTGATAGGTTGTTTTTGAGTCCCATATGTATAGGAGCTCCAGGCCCATCTACCTCATTTGCTGGCATGCCAACAGATTCTTCCAGGTGCTGAAAATTAAATTTTAATATATTATTTAAATATTAAGAGAATTACAGTTTCAGTAATGTTAGTGCTACAGCTGGAGTGGAAAACACGCCTGTAGAATGCAGAGCATTCAGACAATATAACATATAGGAAATTTACAGTGATTTTTAAATGATGAGCTTATATATTTAATGGATGATGCCTTTACTTGGCAATTGGATTATACATAGTTTCCTTGGTTTCATTTCTCGTACTTTCGGCACCGTTGATGTTACTGCAGATTATTATTTGTCGTTCTTTTATTGGTAACTTACCTAAAAGGAATGCTTTATCGATGTCACAAAAACTGGATATTAAAAAGCATATGGCTAAAAATTCAGTACCTGTTGTGGCTTCGTACATCTGTATTACCCTATGCTGAAAAGAGTTTTAAATGCTGAAATATTTTTGACCTCTTTGCTCTCTGTTTTTTTAATGAGAATAATCTTAAAGTTGTTGGAAATGAGAGAAAAGGCTAACAGCACTGCAATCTTGAAGACCCTAAAGCCAGAATTCATGATTAACATACCTGCCTCTTGAAAGTTTTGGTTTTAACCTGTCCATATTATGGAAAAGTCAATTAATAATATCTGTGTGGTGAGATGCTGACAGTTGGGAATTCAGAGTAGGGGATAAATTTAATGATGAAATGTTGTAAGTTACAACTTGTAGCTTCATTTTCTATGATAAAACCTTGGCCTTCTAGCAAGTGCATGTGGCATTTCTCCACAGCAGTTAAGGTTCCATAGCCCCTGCACCCACAGGGCTCAAGTTCAGATCTCAGCTCTACCACGTTCTAGCTGGGCGACCTGGGACAGTCAGCCCTGCAGTGCCTCAGTTTTCAGATCTTTATTCTGCAGCTGCTGTTTCAAGGATGAATTTGTCAAGTCAAAGACTTCAAATAGTACTGGCATAATGTAAGCACTCTACAGATGCCAGTTATTTTATGAGTTTTATTCATATATCAAAATTGCTTTACTGTTAATAGTAACTTTGAGTAACTGCTATCAGTAGATTAAATATGAACTTTTGCAACTCTTGAAGGGTCCTAGCACTCATTCAAAAAATACTTCTCCTAGGTCGTGGGTTACCATGGGGTATTTAACTCATTAATCTATAAATAAACCCTTTACTCTCGGAATTCCCAGTTTAGACCATAGTGTGGTTCCCCACTCCAGATATAGTGTGAAAAATGGTGACACAAACTGTCAAATAGTAAAATATTCAACAAAATCTCACTAGAAGAGTTACACAATTACTGCTAAACCACAGAACACGTTTTAAAAATAGAAGAGTAAAGACTTTGTCAGCCTTTTCATTTTCCCCCTCCTAGTAGTGTAATTCTAGAAAGAACCTAATTTTTAAAAGTTTTGATTGTTTTTGAAAAATTCAACTGCTTTTGAAAATCATGATAAAAAATAATCACACAAATTATATTCTGAAAGATGGACTAAAGTCCATGTAGCATAACATTTTTTGTTCTTAAGATGTGAGTTTTATATGTCATTGTGGGTAACTGATACTTTCCATTGTAAAATGTAAAAGATTTGCAGTGTCAAAATGAGTAATTAACATAATGTGAGTGTTCTTTAAAAAGTTCATGGAAAATGTATACTATGAAAAAACTATATGTTAATTTCACAATTTTTGCACCAAAATAAACTTTTAACTCCATTTTACTTAAACTATCTGAAGTGCCCTTATACATGGAGTATTTACCCTGGATGAGGAATATATTAGGTTGGGGGCTGGGTTTGTAGAGAGCAAGTTGGATAAAATCTTTACATGAAATTTATACTGTAGGAAGAAAGCAGACGATAAACTGATGAGCAAATATACAGCATGTCATATGTAATTACAGTACATTAGAATGTAAAGTAGTAAAAGCTTTGAAGTAAAGCAAAGCACATAAAGGTATTGGGAGGGTTCGTGCTTTCAAGTTAGGGGAACCAGGGAGGGCATGTATGAAAAAGTGGTATTTGTGTGATCTGAACAATCAGACCTTGAAAATTTCTAGGGACACAAGGTGGGCATTTGGTGTTGCACTTAAAACTCCAATTAGAAGGCCCACATCCCATATTGGAGTGCCTAGGTTCAAGTCCCAGCTCTGCTCCTGATTCCAGCTTCCTGCTAATGCTCACTCTGCAAGGCAGCAATCATGACTCAAGTAGCTGGGTCCTCACCACCCGTGTGGGAGACTCAGATTGCATTTCTACCTCCTGACTCCGTCCTGGCCCAGCCCCAGCTATTGTGGCCATTTAGGGAGTGAACCAGTGGTTGGGAGATTTCTATTTGTCTGTCTTTCAAATAAATCAATGAGTACACATTTAAAATTGAAACAAAATTCTGGGGACAAGCACATCGGATCAAGGGGATAGCATGTGTTCTGCTCAGAGACAGAAACAAGCTTCATATAGTCAAGGAAAAACAGGCAGACCAGTAGGACTGGAGCTCAATGAGTGAGGGAGGAGAGGGGGAGGAGGAGCAGGTCACGGAGGTGAACAGAGGCCAGATCACCTAGGAAGACTTTGGTTTTGTGTGATGGAAAGTCTTTGGAGCATGCTGAGCTTGGAGGGATGCAATCCCACTTCTATCTTTGAAATACCCTTCTGACTGCGATGAGAGAGTCTCCCGGTGCGGGGGTGGGGGAGGAGAAGAAGGGACATAGAAGAGTGACAGGCTGCAACAGTTGTCCCCGCTGGAATTTGGTTGACGGAGTTGGTAGGAAGTGGTAGGACTTCGGCATCTATTTTCATGATACTGAGTGACACAATATCAAAAGTAGAATGTGACTGCTTGCTGGTGGATTGAATGGGAGACACAAACCAGAGATGGCCCCCTGGGCTGTTGGCCAGAGCAACCATGTGAATGAGGGTGTGTGATGTATTGAGATGGGGAAACCTGGAAAAGGAACAAGTTTGTGGAGAAAATCAAGGATTCTATGTGGGAGACAGGTTTGATATGGCCTTAAGGCACCCCAGAGGAATAGAGGTATAATCATATGGCACTCAGAAGTTGGGGTTTGACTTGGTGTGGCAGTGACCAGCACGCTTCTGGTCTTTATGAACCACTATGGATCTGATTCCAATTATCTTGGACCGAGGTCTGGGGCCTAGAACACTCCAACATCTAGAGTTTGGGAGGAGGGGAGGATCCAATTAGAAAGAAATGTTGTGGAATAGGAGGAGAGCTAACTCCATGCAGTACCCTGAGAGCCAACTGAGGCTCTCAGAGAGGACTCTGTCCATCTCCCCGTGGGTCAGCCTCACCTCTGTCCCTCATGTCACTAATGGCCACAGCTAGCCTCTGGCCTCAGACATTCCTCTCCTTTCCCGTGGGAGCTTGTTTCCTGGCCTCTTCAATCTCATTAATATCAACTCTTGTTATAATCACTTATAGAAATATATCTTCCTTCCCAGTTTGCTTCTCATGGTGCATCTCACTTTGCCTTCGGGTTGATTTAGGGCTAACCCAGGACAAGCATTGTTGAGGTTAAGAAGGGGTAGAATTAGGAAGAAAAGATCTTTCTCAAGCTCTCCTCTTTTTGCATCTCCCACTGCTGCCATGGTGCCAACATTGCTGGTTCTGTCCTAATTCCTCAGCCTCCTCCCACTTCCCCCAAATACCAGCCCACCCAGTGCTTCTCTTTCATGTTATTTTGGCTAATAACTGTAGACCTATTTATCTTGTGCTAGAAAATGCCACACACAGTCTCTGCCTTCATTATTTCCATCCTGATCTATCTGGTCTATTCTTTTTTTTTCTCTAAAAATAGCCAAATCTACATCTGAGTTTAAACCATTATACCATCCACCCTATCTGACTCTACAGTAATCAGTGGAAGAGCGTGGGGTCACCAGCCTGGCTTTAGCAAAGTATGAAGGTGTTTTCTCTGCAGGAAATCCTTTTCCTTGTATGGTTATTAATCTCCCTGGTAAATTATGGGTCCAGTGGATTTTTTTCTGGAGTAATCCAGGCCTACCACATCATATTAATGTTATTTCTATGAGAAACTGTAAACTTAGTTCTTAATAAGCCATATTAAAAAAAAAAAACCCTGCAGAATAGAATCCTTCAACAATTGAGGAATTCCATTATATATTTATAGCCATCTTGCCTAATTTTATATCTATCATATATGTGTATATGTTGCTATGAATGTTTATATATAATCTCAAAGACATAATTACTAATGGTGAGTCTGTGTTTAAATTTCCTGAAATATGGAAGCTAGGAAATTTTTATAGGAAAGGAATTCTATATTGCTCTTAAATAGTTTAAAGCACAATTTACTGATTCATAAAACATTTCATTTTTACCTTTGACTAATTCTCTCTTATTTGCGAAAATTAATGAATTCAAAAGTATATATCCTTGTAGAAAAAATGGTTTATAGGACTTAGGCATTTTTTGAGTAAAATATTTTATGAAAACCATTTTTTTTCAGAAAGAAATGAGTGATGTGTTTTTTGAAATGAATTTTTGAGGTTTTAATGTGGTGCATTATGAGATCAAATAAATTGGCTAATACTGGTAAGTATAAATGTGAAGATTTTTCTGGAGAAATGTAACTTACGTTGGCAAAATCAATATGCTTGATTCTAGTGTGTTTAAAATACAGAGAATATGGATCTGGTGCGTTCTCTGTGCATTTTAAAGCACCTTGGTATTTGTTGTGTCATTTTCGGTTCACAATAACCCGAGGAGGAGCAGGCCTGAGATTATGATCCCTAATTCATAGATTAAGACGGTGCTGCTCCAGGAGGTCACTGAAGGTCTGGGTGCTAGTGAGAAACGTCTGACCCTGTCATTCTGATCCCAGACCCGGGTCTCTTCCCACCGCCCTGGACGGCCTGCCGCTCTCCGAGGTAGATTGTCTTTACCGTGGATCGCTGACGTAAGTGAGTGCAGCTCCGGGCTGCAGTAACAATGGGTGTGTCGCTCTCATTTTGGCTTGCTGGACGCTTAGAGAGCTGACCCAAGCCTTGAGCGCCAAGGTCAAGGAGCCACGGCTGTGTCCGGAGAAGCTCTGCGCTGCACCCGGCCGGAAAGGAAACCCGCAGTCACGTTTTGTATTTGCACTGTATTTTAGGCACGTAAAGGCAGGGCTGGCTTTCTGCAGCCCCACAGGGCAGCACGGTGCTGCCATGAGGAGTGTGTGTCCAGCGCCTCCGAACACTTCGTCCCGCTAGGCAAATGTGGCTCAGTCCAGGAGACTGAGGGTGTGACCTGCAGACACACAGGGCTTTTCACAGTCGTGGAGGAGGGTATCCGTTTTGTCCCCGCTCCAGGGCTGCGGCTGCTGACCACGGGGAGGTGAAACGGTCTTTGTTCTCATGTCAATGTCTGATTCAGGCACAGGAGAAGGACTCGGAGACACCTCCCTGCCCTGCGTCCTGTCTTCCCATAGCACTTGTCATCAGGGGTCCTAAGGCAGAGGATGCCATACTTGCAGAAATGGCTTTGCCCCGAAAGAGATCTGAAAGAAGGTTCTAGCATGATCAGCTGCTGGCTTTAAAGTGGTGGCCCTTTCAACGTGGGGGTGGTTAGCTTTGGGGATGAAGGGACGTTTTTCACCACTTTTTATCCCATTGCAAGTATTTAACGAACCAAAGGAACTTTAAAAATTTGCTTTTATTCACCCTGAAACAATGCAAAGTAGACACACTGCCCCAACCGAGAGGACAATGGGAAACCCTCACTGAGGAAGATGGGGTGTGTCTGGTTTCCTGGGAGTGGACAGTTATCATGTGACTCTGGGACAGCCGGCTGGGCTGAGGTTCCTGCTGGATTTCCCAGCTGTGTGCTGGCTTTCGAGAGAGGTTGTCAAGGCCACAGCCTTCGATGTACACCCTGAAGTAGATTGTGGGTGACTGTCTTCACTGTGGGTTCTTGTTGCTGTTTTGATGACACAGATTGGGAATATGGCCATAGAAAGCAAGGTCCACTTGCCAGTCGGGACAGATATGTGCTTGGCTTCTCTCCTGCTGTTTTTCATACAAGTCAGCATTTCTTGGGGGACTTTTTATTGTTTGGTTGGTTTTTTTAGAAAATGTTACACTTAAGATTTTGAAAGGGAGAAAATAATATTTCAACTTATTTAGTAGCATAACCTAGAATAAAAGTTATATTAGTCAGTCTTATTCAGACCATAGTCACAAATTGTTAGGCAAAAGTAGCAATGGTAATAAAAGTATGGACATTCATAAATGCTAATAGCTCAGGTTTAACTCTTTTCTATTTTTGGCTTAAACACAGACTTTTTATATGTACAAATGTAAAAGCCATAACAACACGGGAAGACGTGTATTATAGACAGTTGCTACCATTTGGATTTAATTTAACCCCTTTGTTTTGTATGCTAACATTCTAAAGTTTGACTAAGATCAATTTCCTTCACCCACATTCACATGGATTTGCTTGATTTTATTATACTGATGGTTTTAACTCAAAGAAAGTAGCACAATTACCAGTAATGTCAAAACGTTAAGATTTGCATTTTGATGTATAACGTGGTAAATAACATACCAAAGAACTGAGCAACACCAAGAGTAAAGTTAAAAGAGTAGAAATTTTTGGTTTGTTTTTGATTACCTTCTTTAGAATACGATTACACATCGGGTCAGATTCTTGAAACCATCCAGTCGCACAGTGATTTTTCACTGTTCTCTAAGCCTCACGTGGTGTTGTTGGAGGAAATGATATACTGGAATCATACAGTCATGAATAAATTAAGTTTTAAAAATAACTGCAATTTACATCATATGTGGAAGTATTTATTCCTGTTTTGTCTTCTGTTTCAAATCGCAGAGTAAGAATTTGAAAACCCCACCATTGTAAGGTGGTGGTGGTCTGTGAAACTTAGGTCCACCATTCATCCCCATTCATGCCTTTTTCTCATTGCTCAGTAATTAAAAATAGCTATGGGCGTTTTTTATCCACTGAGATTTACCAACTGCTATA